TTTTTACGGTCCTAATAGAAAAAAAATTGTAAAAAAAATAAAAAAATAAAAACTTTTATCTGTTCTTCAGCTATATTTACAACCTAGTTTAGCTTTTAACAACCTACGTTACTCCAGTTACTCGTGAATACTGATAAGATCTTTATCTGCAGAGATAGCGAAAGAATTCTAGATTTTTATTTACCGCTAAAGTTGAGCGTTAAAAAGCGACATTTATTTACCGCTAAGTTTAACGTTAACAAGCGATATTTATTTACCACTAAGTTTAATGTTAACAAGCGATATTTATTTACCGCTAAGTTTAATGTTAACAAGCGATATTTATTTTCCGCTAAAGTTGAGCGTTAACAAGCCATACTAGTAAAGCAAATTAGGTAGATAGATAAATAAGTAAAAAGGAAAGTTAATGAAAATGCGGATAGATGAATGATCATATAAATTGAATAGGTTGTGAATAGATAAGTCTATAATTTACGCGGCCATAATGCCACCCAGATTTTCACTTCCGTTTAAAAATAACGAGAAATATTCGAGGAATTTGCAGAAATATCCGATCGGGAGCAGAGCGTAGCGGAAAAACGCTAACTGTAAATATAAACGCGGTGACATCCGGGGATCAAGTGAGGATCTGGGAAAGGGGACGGGATCTCATTCACTTGCTATTTAAATCTATGGGGCTCGATTTTAGAGTTTGCGATCTTTGTTTGTCCTCTCTCTCTCTTTCTCCGTGTTTCTCTTTCTCTCTCTCTCTATCTCTATCTCTATCTCTATCTCTATCGCCCTTATTCTTGTTCTTATTCTTTTTCCTTCTCCTCCTCCTCCCCCTCCTCTTACCCTTCCTCCCTATCCCCTTCCTCCTCCTCTACTTCCTCCTTCTCCACCACTTTTTCCCCTTCATCCTTCTCCTCCTCCTTCTTCTCTTCCTTTTCTTCCTCCACTTCCTCCTTCTCCAGCTTCTTTTCCCCTTCCTCCACCTCCTTCTTCTTCTTCTTCTTCTTCTTCTTCTTGTTCTTCTCCTCCTCCTCCTCCTCCTCCTCCTCCTCCTCCTCCTCCTCCTCCTCCTCCTCCTCCTCCTCCTCCTCCTCCTCCCCCTCCTCCTCCCCCTCCTCCTCCCCCTCCTGCTCCCCCTCCTCCTCCCCTCCTCCTCCCCTCCTCCTCCCCTCCTCCTCCCCTCCTCCTCCCCTCCTCCTACTCCACCCTCCTCCTACTCCAACCCCTCCTCCACTTCTTCCTTTCCTCCTCCTCCTTCATCAACTTTTCCCCTTCTTCCTCCTCCTCCTCCTCTTCCTCTTCCCCCTCCATCTTTTCCCCTTCCTCCTCCTCCTCCATCTTTACCCCTTACTCCTCCTACTTCTTCTCCTCCTCCTCCTCCTCCTCTTCCTCCTCCTCCAATTAACCGCCATTTGCATCTTCCATAAATCATCAGGGATCATTTCGCTTCGTCTTTTATCGTGCTTGTCATCATGATCCTTATCGTGGTCATCATTTCGAGTTGCCAGTGCAATATGTTGCAACATGCCTGTATTGAACGTCAACATCTTTTGTGGAATGCAATGCTGTTTCTTCTTTTTCTGTGTTTCTCTCTCTCTCTCTCTCTCTCTCTCTCTCTCTCTCTCTCTCTCTCTCTCTCTCTCTCTCTCTCTCTCTCTCTCTCTCTCTGTTTATTCTCTCTCTATCTTTCTCTATCATTCTTTGTTTTTCCTTTCGTAAATCTATCTCTTAGAAATGTTTCTTCTTCTTTTTTTTCTCTCTATCTCCCTTTCTCTTTCTCTCTTTCTTCTTGTTTTCGTATATCTCTTTGCTTATTGTATCTCTCTCTCTTTCTTCTTGTCTGCCTTTATTTATCTCTTTGTTTGTTGTTTATTTTTATTTTTCCGTGTTTCTCTCTCTTCCTCTCTTTCTCTCTTTCTTTTTTCTCTTCGTATATCAATTTCTTTGTTTTTATCTTTCTTTATTTTCGCTGCAATAAACCTTATCAATTTTTACCTTTTTTCCCTTAATTCTTACAGCTATGAATCAAAGTTTCGGTTATTGTTCTTTACTTATTTTTCTGTTTTAAGTTTGTTTGTTTGTTTGTTGTTTTTGTATCACACAGAAGGTAACTATTTTTTATAGTTATTATTCAGATATGCAGTTGAGAATAGTATATACAATCTTCACTTTTTCGGCAAATAAATCTTTTACACAACAGACAATGATTTTGACTTCATTCTTGAAAAAGAATCGATAAATAAATAAATAAATGAATATCATATATATTTATTATTATTATTATTATTATTACTATTATTTTCGACTTTTTCAGGATGGCAAATAAATCTTATACACAATAGACAATAATTTTGAGTTCATTCTTAAAAAAGAAAATAAATTAATGAATGAAAATAAAAATTACATAGATATTAATTCTTATTTTTTCTTTTTTTCGACTTTCAGCGTGTTTCAAGGATGGAATCTACATACCAAGTGGGAAAAGTTACAAGTTTAACTGCAATGAATG